AATGTGACAGTTTCAATTGGGATAAAATCTAGCAAACTGCTCTGCTCTGGCAGCCTGACTGGGGTGGAACAACAGTTCAGTTTTGAGATAACCTGGCTCCACAGGCCAAAGAAAGAGTTAACCCAAAACACAAATTAAGGAAAAAACAGTAAAGAAATTAGGAGTGTAAAGAAAGAGGAAAGCTAGTAGAGAATGCATTGAGAAAGGAATTGAGGAGGCAAAATGGTTTCTGTAAGGTTTTAGGCAAGAAAAGGACCACTCAGAGAGAAATAAAAAGATTGACAGGAAAGTTTATTGGGGTACGCTCCTGGGTGAACTCCCTGGTTGGGATCAGAGAGCTTGCACTATGTTTAGTTGCAGCAGAGCTTTAACAGGCGGGGTAAAAGTTGAACTGTTAGTGAGTGGTGACTTGTGGCATGTAGCTTGTTTTGCAAGTTTGAGCAGTGGTTTTAGGTTTTAGGCCAGTGCACTCAAAGAACGGTTGACTCAGAAGGATGTGGTCTTTCTTGGCAGCAGGTCTGTCCCCTGCCCCCCCACCCCCACCCTGGGCGCCTGACATTTTCTCTGGCTGCCTACTTCCACCAGTGGCCTGACAGTTTCCTTTGGGTAAGAAAATATTTTGGAAAGTAAGCGTTGTCTTCAATGTCTCTCCAAAATGGGAGGAATTAACCCCAGAAGGTTTGAATAAGTAGAATATGGTGTGAGTCAGTAGAGGATGATGTGAATATTGAGTTTTATAAGATAAAGCTTATACATTGGTAAAATTGGCATGTAATTATCTGTAATGTAAAAACTGATCTAAGATTTTTTCCTTATTAATATTTCTGACCCCCCCAAGTATACAAGGCTCCTTGGAAACAAAGCTGGAAAAAAAACTAGCAAGCCTACATCCTTCATAAAGTTGGTATGTAATTAAGTTGGCTATGATTTAAATAAGGTCAAGATTAATACACTGATGTAAAGCCAAAATCTTATTTATTATGTCCATCTATATAAGTAATTGTATAAACCAAAGTTCACTTAAGTGTTTGTTTAGGTCAAGCTCCTTCAAATGAACACCTTTTAACTCGAATTACATTTTTCCCTGTTTAATATGTAAGCTGCCTTGGATATAGAGCTCAAAGGACACCAACTCCTGCATTCTTCATTGTAATCACAAAGGCTTATACTGACACTCACAATGTCTTAACTTCAATTACTATCCTAAAATGTTATATGCAATTAAAAATAACAACATTTATATTTGATCTCCTTCTTGCTTCAGTTGGGAGTAAGGAGGATCATGGTTCAAAGCCAGCCTGGGTAGAAAAATCCCTGTGAGATTCTCATCTCTAATTAACCAGCAAAATCCTGGAAGTGGTGCTGTGACTCAAAGTGGTAAAGTGCTAGCCTTGAGAAGAAGTGCTCAGAGACAGAGCCCAGCCTTGAGTTCAAACCCATGACTGACAAAAGAGATGCCAACCTGGACAAACCATCCCAGCAATGAGCACCTAGACCCCTGGAACAAATTTAGTCCTGGAGCAAGAATGGATGGTGTCACATCCAAATAGAGTTACTTTGCACTCACCCTTTCAAAATTAACCACAGCAGGGAGATCAAAAGAAATAGTTAATAAGCATACCTATCTAATGTCCATACCTGTCTACCTTCTAATTGGACACAGAAACTTACATTCTTTCTTTTTTCTTTTTTTGTCAGTTGTGGGGCTTGAACTTGGCCTGGGCACTGTCCCTAAGCTCTTCAGCTCAAAACGAGCACTCTACTGCTTGAGCCACAGCACCACTTCCAGGAACTTAATTCTTGCCTTTGTTACCTACTATTTCTATTTGTAATGAGTCTTGGACTCAGGACAGTTCGCCTTGGCACCTTACTGGGTCTCCCATCTGTACTCTATAGTACAGACTCTATAAGCCCAGGCATCCAGTTACAGGAAATGATCAAGACCTCTCACCCAGCCTTTAACCACTCCAATCCAGCCCTACCTTCTGACAGCTTATTTTTTACCATCAAACTCTCCCCTACCCAGTCATCAGAAGCCATAGACCCCAGCCCAGTTATATGGAAATTCCACTTTCTTGGATCCTGTTTTCTTATCCATATTCAAAAGTTTCTCTTTAACAGGATAACAACCCTCATACAGGACACTACCTTAGAGCAAGTCAAGGCCATCCTATTACTGCAGGCAACTGGAGGCTTCACTTATGCCACCCTGCCTTGCCCAACACAGACCTGCACCCTGAAGACCCCTGCTCCAGTGACTCCTTGATGCCCTCATGTCAGCAGGAAGTAGCCAGAAAAGACCATGATGTCCTTCAACTTTTTATACCCCTTCAGCATTTCAAAGGATGGGCATCTGCTTTGTTCTCATAATTCCGTGTTGCTCCCATGGCCCACTGACTACCCTCACTCAGGGCCTGGTTCTTGGGAACCTTATCTGAAGGACTGCAGGCATCAGGAGGATCCCCCTCCATAGAACTCTCCATACAGGACTGTGTACACTGGAAGCCCCAAACAGGACAGTTTGGACAATAAGACCCCAGGGCAGGACAAAGAATTTCCAGAGAGGAGTCTGACCCAGTCTCTTCTTCCAGGCTACTCCTTTTATGTATCCAAAGACCCTATATGAAGGATTTGGCTCTTCCCTCTCAGCCCAATCTTTTTATGTATCTAAAGATGGAATAGGAAGGGTTGACCCCCACCCTATTTTCTCAGGTTTATACAGATGTCAGGTAGAGATATTTGTAGACTGCCTGACGCTGGCAGGGCAATCCACCTAAGCCTGGCTGTAAACATTCCATTGTGGGTCCAAAAAGCCCCACCTCCTTTGACTTAAGGACGTTTTTCATTAACTTCTGCCTCCTTACTTAAACCCTATTTAAGGCCCAGTCAACTACATCTCTTTGCACAACCTCTGATCTTATGGGATCCCATGCTAGGGTTATAGGTATGAGCCACCAGTGCCCAGCTTTTTTGATCAGGATTTCAACATTTGTGATCATGGTGTTGAGGATTGTGTCTTTTGGGATTATGGCCCAAAGTTACTTTAATGACTCAAGACGTAACAATAGTGTAAAGGACAAAGATAAACCTGGAAGTAGGGCTGGGAAGTTGGCTCAGTGGTAGAGCGCTTGCCTTGCATGCCTGAGGCCCTGGGTTCGATTCCCCAGCACCACATAAGCAAAAAGAAAAAAGCCAGAAGTGGCGCTGTGGCTCAAGTGGTAGAGCGCTAGCCTTGAGCTGAAGAGCTGAGGGACAGCGCCCAGGCCCAGAGTTCAGGCCCCATGACCGGACCCCCCCCCAAAAAAGAAAAAAAACCCTGGAAGTAAGAGGCTTCTGCTGTAGTAATGGAATATGGATATTGTATCTAAGTAACTCTATCTTGCCATCTTAATAAAAGTTAATAGAAAATGGGGACTTTCTGAGAACTCTGGAGGTGATAGAGGACATGTTTGGATTATAAACATGTCATGAGGAGTTCTAGCTCCTTCTAGAAAATTGGAGTTCTGATTGCCCCTTATTGTTCCCCTGAATAGTTTGCTCTGTGTATGTATAACACTTTTATTAGGAATAAATATCCTCATCTAGCTTGCTTTGTTTTATGTATAACACTTTTGTTAAGGCTTGGTCTCCACCCTAAGCATGTGGTTTTTAAAAAGCTATGTGGTAGCTCTATTTCTGCATCAGGTCTTTGTGTCTTTGTGACAGCAGTCCTCCTGCAGATGCTGGCTTTCTAATAAAGACTCCCAATTTGACCTTTCAAAATGTGGCTTCTCTGTTTTCTTGACATACAACAGTAAGGTCCTGTTTCAACGATGTAGACAAAAAAAATGATCAAGGCCTTACCTAAGGCATTGGCAATAGGAATGTAGAAACTTTTAAGAAGGAAGTTGAGTATATGTGAGAAGTGGAAGAGAAGGAAAACAGAGTGGACAGTGTTGCCATCTCTATGTGGGCAGATAGGAGGATATGAGTTTAGGTTTTGAATTTACTGAGATGAGATGATTTTTTCGTAGAAGTATCTAGCAGGGAATTATACCTATTCATTTCCACAGGGCCTTGCAGTTTTGTTTTGTTCCTTGTATTCCCAAACTTAGCATAAAACCTAGCTTTAAATCAATAAATCAATCTGGTCAGGACCTCCTGTTAATAATCTAGAAGGAGGGTTAAATTTGGCAGCGATATTGTCAGAGATGCTTTTATTTGAAGCCATCAGACTCATTAATTTCTTCTTTCCCTATGTGGATCCCTTTAATGTCCTTTCCTTGCCTTATTGCTCTGCTAAGGATTCTAGAATATATTGAAGAGGAGTAGAGTGGGCATCCTTGCCTTGTTCCTGATTTTAGGGGAAGTATGGTACTGGCTGTTGGTCTGTTGTATGTGGCTTTTATTGTTTTTAAAAATATTTATTTTCTTTTATTATTATTATTATCATTATTATTATTTTACCAGTTGTGGGGCCTGAACTGTGAGCCTGGGTGCTGTCCCTCAGCTCTTCAGCTCAAGGCTAGAGCTCTATCAATTGAGCCATAGTGCCATTTCCGGCTTTGTCTGCTTACATGGTGCTGAGGAATTGAACCTCATGCATGCAAGGCAAGCGCTCTACCACTGAGCTACCTTCCCAGCCCTGGCTTTTATTGTTTTGAAGCAAATTCCTTCGATTCCTAGTTTCACCAGAGCTTTTAACATGAGTGACATTGTATTTTGTCCAAGGCTTTTTCTGCATCTATTGAGATGATCATGTGGTTTTTGACCTTGGCTCTGTTGACAAGGTGAATTACATTTATCTTAACCCCGCACTCCAGACACACAGATGCGACTAGCATGAGGTTCCTAGGGGGACTGTCACCTGCTAAGCCAAATCTCTCCCGACCTGGTACTCTTCGAGCACAGCTGCATTCGGGTTTCCTCAGGTCCTTTCTGTGGTGGACTACGGTCACGGAGTGCTGTTTAGAGGCGTGGCCAGCGGCAGGCTCCGCCCCGTTCCGTGGCGCGCAGGCGGGTGGTGGGTGTGGAAGGCGGGGTGGCACCGGCCTTAGCTGGAGACCTGGAGGCCGGGGCCGCCTCCCAGCACCCATCCGCCGGCTTCTCTGGCTCCATCTATTGGGAGGAGCGGCCGCGACCTCGGCCTCCAGTGTCCCGGGCGGAGTGAAGCGGAGCCGCGGCCGCCGCAGCCGCCGCCGCCGCCGCGATGGTGCTACTGGGGCTACTGCAGGCTGGAGGGTCGGTGCTGGAGCAGGCGATGGAGCAGGTGACGGGCGGCAACCTGCTGTCCACGCTGCTGGTCGCCTGCGCCTTCACGCTCAGCCTGGTCTACCTGTTCCGCCTCGCGGTGGGCCACATGGTCCCGCTGCCTCCCGGGGCGGTAAGTTGCACCCTCCGGGGTCCGGGCGCGGAGGACGGCGGCCCCGGGGGCCGAAGGGCGGGCACGGGCCGGCTTCCGGGCAGCCAGCCGGTGATGCCAGTGCCAGGTGCCAGGTGCCGGCGCCCGCAGCCGGGCTTGGGGTCGGGGTGGGGGCCGGGGCGACTGCAGCACTGCTGCTGGCGGAGCCGACCGTCGGCCTTTGCCGGCCTCGCACCGACCAGCACGGTCCCCGGCCTACACGTGAGATTTTGTGTTTACTGTTTATAATCATTGGAAAGACAGAGATCTCTTCGGTGTTTGAAGCTGTTTTCCTCCTATCTGAGGAGTGTTGGGCCCATTTGAGACCACCAAAGATCTGAGAAAGGTCATCTGAAAGACTGACTCCCATCCTATTATCCCAGGTGCACACCGATGTCAGGCGAAGCCCCTGGTATGCCAGGGTGTCAGGCGAAGCCCCTGGTATGCCAGGGTGTGCGTGACCCCCAGGCGGGGCCCTCAGACCCGAGCCTGGCTGTCAACACTCCACTGTGGACCTGGCCTGTAAGGCGCTGAGGTCAGGCTGTGAGGCCAGTTGGAAGACCGGACTGGACCCTGTGAAGGTCATATCCTTTAGGCAGGACAGGCACAGAGCGGTTTAAACATTAAACCTAAGATAAGTGAATACCTACCTTTTGCTCTGTCTTTGCAGTCACTCCCTTATACTAAACTCAAGTAAGCCCTCTCCTTGCTCAGACTCTATAAAACCCTGACTCAACCTCCACCCTCCTCCCCGACTCTTTCCCTCCTCCCCCCCAACACCAGTCTCCAAGGTCATGGGAAAGCTGGGTTCCATGCTATTTGGGACTCAATAAACAGTCCTAGACTGTTGAGAATGGAGTCTGGCTTTTTCCTTTTTCTCTCTCTTCCGTTTTCCTAACATCATCCTTTTCTATCATTACATGTTTAGATTTTTCAGGAGTCTTAGTCTTGTAATCTGTGGTGATTTTATGATGAGTGCCAAGAAGGTTCCTCTTGGAGTTGATCTCCTTGCTTTAAAAAAAACAACAGTGGATCTATGAGACCGACCAGCTAGGCCGGAGCACTGGGACAGGGAGTCAGCGAAGTGACAGACACAGACTCAAAAGAGTTGCATCTGAGTGTATCTTTATAGAGGATAATTAACATGGATTCTTTTTTTAATATATTTTTATTGTGAAAATACTGTACAGAGGGGTTACAATTACGTGGGTAAGATAATGAGCACATTTCTTATCAAGCATTGTAGCCTCCTCCTTTGTTTCCCCTTCCCCTTCTATCCTCCTCTCCCCTTCCCCCCCACCAAAGTTGTAAAGTTCATTTTTCGACATAACGACTGTGACATAGATTCTTTGTTTATTTAAGCACGTAATCAATTTTTAAGAAAAGCAAAGCATTGATGGATTACATGAAAATTGATGACTATCCTACCAACTGTTTAAGCTAAGTGGTGCCAGACAAGTCTAAAATATTGTTTAATGCCTCATCTATTCAGCCTTTTTATGTTTAATAATTAACAAACCTAAGACAGGGCTGTACTTATATTGTACTCTTTTTATTTTTTCCATATATTTTCAAGTCCCTTTGAAACCATCCTAAAAACGACTTCCAGCTTGAGTCAGGCATTCTCTGTTTCCTATGATTTTTTTTTTTGGGTCCGGTCGTGGGGCCTGAATTCTGGGCCTGGGCGCTGTCCCTCAGCTCTTCAGCTCAAGGTGACCACTCTACCACTTGAGCCACAGCGCCACTTCCGGCTTTTTCTTATGTGGTGCTGAGGAATCGAACCCAGGGCGTCAGGCATGCAAGGCAAGCGCTCTACCACTGAGCCAACTTCCCAGCCCCGTTTCCTATGATTTTAATCCCAATATTTGTTCACATCAATTTCTTTTTTTTATTTTTATTTTATTTTTTTGTTTTTTGGTCAGTCGTGGGGCTTGAACTCTGGGCCTGGGCGCTGTCCCTCAGCTCTTCAGCTCAAGGCGAGCGCTCTACCACTTGAGCTACAGCGCCACTTCCATTCACATCAATTTCTAATTGTTATTTTAAACTATCTTATTGTTGTTTTGATAATAAACACCATAATGGCCTAGATCTACCTAATCTTTGCATAAAATCTAATGAGTTCCATAATACCCTTTTTTTCTTTTACATTAATCCATCTATTTTCATCTTTATAAGCTCCTGCATAAGGCAATGGTTCATCTGTCGGTTCAGGAAATGTGATGTCACTAACTTTATATTTAGTGAGAAACCACCATCTATTCCCTATAACACAAGCTGGACTAAACTTAATCATAACTGTTGAGGGAATCTTTCTTTTCCTTTTATTATCAGGGGTCCCTTTTTCTAGAACTCTCTGAGCTTCTGAGATAAATCCTAGCTTAGTTTAATTCATTAATCCTGCCTGTTGTAACATATCTGGAAATTTTAAGTTTCTGTATTTACTATGCGTGAGCCGCAAAACCGCTTGTGAAGTTGTAGGAGTTTCTGGAGGCAGCGTCACATCAGATGATTGATTGGGGCATTGCCCACATTTAATCTTTGGTCCCAGTCTTTATTATTTAGAGAAGCCGTCTCTATTGGACTGGAAAGATACAACATGCTCTGTTCACGGATCAATAGAAAAATAGCCAAAACGAGAATAAAGGCAACGAATGTACAGCCAAGAAGAATATAGTAAGAATAAAGGTAGAGGCTATAAAGGTGCAGCCAAATGTATGCGAAGCCTTGAACCAACACCCCCTTCCTGCAGGCATGCTTCCTTGAAGCTCATTGTCTAATGCGATCTCTCACGCAAGACTCCGCAGGAGGTGGCGTGGCAGATCTAGTTCATTTGCAGTGAGATAAACATGTTGATTGTAAATGTTGCTTAAATAATACTTTCCTTGCAGATCTGAAGTTTTTGTTCAGCTTTTAAAAAAAATCTTTCTCTTATTTCGGATTGAAGTGGTATAATATTTGAAATTAAGGTGAAAAGTCTAACATTATTTCAAAATATTAAAAAATTCACTTACACATTTTTTAGAGAGAAAACAATACTACAGAATATAGAGGCAATGGTTAAAGAATAAATATATAAAATATATGTAAATTGCTAGGTGCCAGTGGCTCATGCCTGTAATCCTAGCTACTCAGGAGGCTGAGATCTGAGGATCACAGTTCACAGCCAGCTTAGGCAAGAACATCCATGAGACTCATCTCTAATTAACCACCAGAAAACCTGAAGTGGTGCTATGTTAGAGCATTTGCCTTGAGCTGAAGAGCTCAGGGACAGTGCTCAGACCTAGAATTCAAGCCCCAGGATTTACCTACCTACCTACCTACATATGTGTGTGTGTGTGTAAATAATATGTATAAAGAAATATATAAATATGTATATGATGGATAATGCTAAAGCAATTCCTAGTGAAAAAATCCATACTTTTACAGTCCTATGTGGATATATTTTATTTTATATTTTTAATAGTGCAATGCAGTTTATTCTATGTAGTTTGATCATATTTACCTCCTCTATTACTTTTTCTGTCCCCCTTTTTTGTACAATTTTTATTATGTTTAAACACTCTTTTCATACATACATATAATGTACTTTGATTATATTTAACCCCCTTGACCCCATGCTTTTTCTTTCACCTTCTATTGCCTACTGGTTACCCCTTCCCAAATATTTATGCTTTATATTCATGTCATTATTTTTATTTTTTATTTTTAATTATTCATAGGAGAGAATCATGCTGTATTAATGTTTGTGAATCTGGCTCGAGATAGTCTGCTCCATTTTTTTCCTGATGACAAGATTTCATTCTTCTTTGTGGTTGAATAATAGAATAATATAATTATTGTGTATGAATTACATTTCTTTTCTGGTCACAGGATTTGAACTCAGGCCCTGGGCACTGTTCCTGAGTTCTTTTGTTCAAGGTCAGTGCTCTACCAGTTTGAGCAACAGTACTACTTCCTGTTTTCTGGTGGTTAATAGGAGATTCGAGTCTCATGGGCTTTCCTGTCTGGGACAGTGTTGAACTGTAATCCTCAGGTTTCAGCCTCCTGAGTTGCTGGGATTACAGGCATCAGTCACCAGTGAATCTCTTTATCCATTCATTAATTGATGGGTGCTAGGCCAATTCCATAGTTCAGCTTTTGTGGTTCCTTCTTTTTAGACAAGATTTTGCGACTAAAATTGCCCGTGGTAGTAGAAGTGATGACACAGGTTTCTTCCCTTTCTGCCTCTCTCTAGGTTGAATAGGTACACCACTAATATTAGACATCGTTTAAAGTCCCAGAGCCTGTTTGTCTAGTTGTTTATGTTATATATCATCTTTACAGATTTTGTTCTTTTTAGCTTCTCTTCAATGATATTGTCTGTTTGGCTGTTCTTGTTACTTTTTTTTTTTGGTCGGTCGTGGGGCCTGAAAGCTGGGCCTGGGCGCTGTCCCTCAGCTCTTCAGCTGAAGGCTAGCACTCTACCACTTCCGGGTTTTTCTGCTTATGTGGTGCTGAGGAATCGAACCCAGGGCCTCATGCATGCAAGGCAAGCGTTCTACCACTGAGCCACCTTCCCAGCCCCTGTTCTTGTTACTTTTGATGCTTCAGTTTTTGGTAAACTTGTTTTGATTAATGGCAAATACATTTAACTGTTCATTGAACTAGTCTGAGTTTTTCTCTTAAAATTGAAGTGGAGACTGAAATATTTCTTTTTCTCTTACAGAAAAGTCCACCATACATTTTCTCCCCAATTCCATTCCTTGGGCATGCCATAGCATTTGGGAAAAGTCCAATTGAATTCCTAGAAAACGCATATGAGAAGGTAAGTCTTAAAAATAGACTCCCCCCAAAACCACAAGCAAAAAAAAAAAAAAGAACTAGTTTAGATAAGTACTTTGCAAACTTTTCTTGTAAAATGGTGATGTTATGCTTATTGACAGGAGAAAAAAAACATAAAAATTGAAGCTTTTCTGGTTTGAGAAGGACAAAGGCCTTGTAGACCCCTTTAGTTTCTCCCAGTGTTCTGGGATAGTTCTAAATTTTATTTTTCACTGAATATACTTAAGATTGATAAAACTAATACTCTTGTTAATCATATATCTCAGATTGTCTTGACCTGTTCCATTCATTTTCTGTGATTTCACTTGCCCCTTGGATTGGATTACATGATATCATGGGCACTGGAATCTTTGATCCTCTCTAATGAGATTTCCTGTCAGTTCAGCTGTTAACTCTATACTTGTGCCTTGGACTTTGCTATTTTACCTCACAACAGCAAGTCACCTTATTCTTAGATCATACCTTCTGATTTCTTGTGCAACTTCTTGGAAAATAAACATTGTTTAACATTATTAGTCCCTGTTCCCATTTACTTAAGTTTTGATCCAGCAGACTTCTTTCTGGTTTTCTGGCTTTTGCTACTTTGGGTCCATAGCCCCTCATTTCAGTTACAGCATTGTCAACTTGTCTAGTTCCCTTGTTTTTGGATCTTTTCACTGTGCTCACCTGGCTTAAACACTATCTGTGGGGAGAGTTACTCATTTTCTTATTCCTTGTTCCAGATTGCTTCCTTCCTAATGTCATGAGTACTCATATTAAATGAAATTTCATATTGCTCAATTATTTAATGTTCTTGTTTTTGACTTAACATACACCCTAATGACTAATTCAAGCCTTTATATGTCTGAACTTCTGAGCCTTTCTACTTCTCCATCCAAGCAGATGATTTTGGCTCCTAATGAAAAGGGAGTTAAAAAGTCACTTAGCTTGGAGCTAGTGGCTCATGTCTATAATCTTAGCTATTCAGGCAGTGGAGATCTTAGGTTGAAATTTGAAGCCAGCTTGAATAGGCAATTTCACAAAACATTTATCTCCAATTAACCACCAAAAAGTCAGAAGTAGAGCTATGGTTCAAGTGGTAGAGTACTAGCCTTGAGCAAAGGAGCTGAGGGACAGCAGTCAGAACCCTGAGTTCAAGCCCCAGGATGAGCTAAAAAAACAATAACAAATACTCATACTCTTGATTTCAAACATATCAACCCAGTTGTGTTTATATAATCTTATTTTTTATAATAATGGTAATAATTATTAAACATCTACTTTGTTCACAGTTTAGTGCTTTGTAAAAATTCTTCCATTGAAGCCTCACAAAACCTCCTTCAGGTGTATGTATTATATGGATAACAAAACAGGTCATTTCTTACTGGGGGCCAAGTCAAGGTTTACACACAATGATTTCTTACTGAAAACAAATGATATTTTCTATGACCAAGATATTTTTCCCTCTATGAGTAATTTATATTATCTTGACAGCAGTTCCACGAATTTTAGACTCTTTTGGCTATTGCCATTTTATAGATCAGGGACGCTGAAGCACAGAAAGGTTAATTTTTCTGAATGTTGGATGATGGACCAATAGATGGAAGAGCTGGGGTTTGAATGCAGGCAATTTGGGATCAGAATCTTGTGCTCTAGCTCACTATGTTCTACTCTAATTTTATTGTGTAATCCTTTGTCTCCTATTGAAGACTGAACTCTTGATCCCTTTCTTTTGTTTCCAAACCCTTATGTTATTATTTTTTTTCTGTCAATGTGTTACATCTCCTCATTGAATCTCTTTTCCTTTTCCGTGAAAAATGTTCAGTGTTTTTCATTTAAGAAGTAGAAGACTTCTCTTATTAGTCTCCTGTCACACCCATTTATGGACTTGTCTGTGTTCACTGTCTGTTTCGATGACTCCTATTACATATTCTTTTTTTATTGCATATTCTTTTTCAGTTCTCTTTGGTCTCTGTTTTAGTCCCTTCATCAGTAAGCTTCATGTCACTAACCCAAAGGTCTTGGTCTCTTTTGTAACTCAATTATTGGCAGATATTTGCCATTTAATATTGGGGTGCTCTAACTTTTTGTCCTATGCCTGTATTTTCTTAGTAATCTTTTTTCTTACAGCTTCAGTTACTGGCTATATGTAGGTGTCACCCAAATTCATGTCTGTGGCTCAGGTCTTTTTTTCTGAGCTATAAACTTGGATGTCCAATTTCCATATGATTCTCTTAGTTGTTTGAAAGGCTTCTGAAAGCCAATATTTCTAATTAACCACTGTTTTTTCTTCCTCTCTCCAGTTATGATCATCTTATCCTAGTCTCCTCCTTGTTGTTTTCCAAGTTTTGAGGCATACTAGAAGCATAAACTTGCTTTTTGAAGCTGGACACTAGTGAGTCACACCTGTAATTCTTGCTACTTAGGCTGAAATCTGAGGATCACTGCTGGAAACCTCCTTCCCTCTCACCCCTCCCCAGGAAAGCCTGTGAGACTTTTTGTATTTATTTATTTATTTTTTGGGTCCAGTCATGGGGCCTGAACTCTGGGCCTGGGCACTGTCCTTCAGCTCTTCAGCTCAAGGCTAGTGCTCTACCACTTGAGCCACAGCGCCACTTCCGGCTTTTTTCTTTTTGCTTATATGGTGCTGAGGAATCGAACCCAGGGTCTCATGCATGCAAGGCAAGCGCTCTACCACTGAGCCACCTTCCCAGCCTTCCTATGAGACTTTTTATCTCCAATTAATCACCAAAAGGTCAGAAGCAGAGGTCTAGTTCCAGTGGTAGTACTAGCCTTGAGCACAAAAGCTCAGGGTCAGCACTCAGGCCTTGAATTGTAGCCCCAGGACTAACACCAAGAAAGAAAAAAGAAAAAATTCCTTCTTGATACTTCTAACTCTTATCCATTGCCAGTTCTGCAGATTCCATCTCCAAAATAACAATTTTCTCTCTGCTTGTGTCTCCCTGTGCCACTATTACCTCATGTCACGTGTTTATTAAATTTTGCAGTAGGTTCTGATTCATCTGGTGGCATTGCTTTTGCTCCTATCACATATTTTGCATAGATTAATATGTATATTCACCCACATGCATAAATGTGTCCTCACCATATAATTGAAAATATATCCAGTTTTCCTTCCCTTGCAAAGAAAAACCTTAATATGGCTTATCACGCTCTATATGTCTATGCTCTGCCTGACTCTTGGCTCCCATCTCCTCTTATTTTCCCCCTTTTACCTTTAGGCCTTTGTGCACACTCAACTACTACTACACTTGCCATTCATTCTCAGTCCTCGTGTCTTTTTACCTTTTCTGGTCTGGGTTTCTTTTCTTTGTGTAATACGTGTTTGCATTTGGAATTCTACTTTTGTTAATGTGATTATTTGTCTTATCTTTTCTAATAGATAAAAGCTTCATGAATCAGGGACAATCCTTTTTTTATTCACGGTTATATCCCACAACCTAGTCTTTAATAATAACTATAAACATGCAAGCTGAAGCATCTGATACCTAACAAAACTGACAGTAATAGCAAAAATGAAAACAGTGTTGATGAAGTAGCAAGCAAAACATTGATAATTAAATAGTGTTCTGGTACCCTCCTGTACCAAATACTAGAAAAAAGGCCAGAACGTTTGGTTGCTCCTCTACATTCATTTATTTATGGTGGTAATAGGGTTTAACCTCAGGCTTCATGCTTGCTGGGCATGAGTGCTCTATCACCTGAGCCATGCTTCCACTTCCCCCGTACATTTATTTTACACAAGGAAAAAAGAAGTATATTCTCAGAGTTCTCAGAAGTGTTCATTATACAATTTTATAGTAAAGGAAAAAAAACCCAACATCTCTGTGACACATTATCAACATGTCCAATTTTAACTGAGTAATTAACTAAATTAATATTGTCCTGTCTAATGGTAGAAAATATGATGTTCAAATGATAGAACAGGGTAAATGAGAAAAGGAAGAATTAAATGTATACAGTCTTTACAACTGGATGCACATAATTACAAATTTAAACAAAGGTTGAGGGTATTGAAAGATGAAGGGAATTTAAGATGTGAATGTCATGATTGTTTTCAATGAAGTACTTTGTAATTTAAGAACTTGAGTACCTTAGTGTTGCCTTTTTTGTTGTTGGTTAACCTCACTGTGAGCTCCTTCTTTAGTATGGACCTGTATTTAGTTTTACCATGGTGGGCAAGACATTTACTTACCTTCTGGGGAGCGATGCTGCTGCACTGCTTTTTAATAGTAAAAATGAAGACCTGAATGCAGAAGATGTCTACAGTCGACTCACAACACCTGTGTTTGGAAAGGGAATTGTATATGATGTGCCTAATGCGGTAGGTGGTACTTTTATGGCTCTGGACTAAACTAAATATAGCTAGATGTGTGTTATTATAAATTTATAATGTATAAATAATTTATCTTTTGGATCAAATGATCTGAAAAACTAGAAGGCATTAAATAAGTGAAAACTGAAGGAAGATAAAAATAATGTCAAAGTATGGTGGATGCTTGGGACATTGCATCGGCATTTGTACTGGGTTGGGAGACTGGAAAGTAACCTCCATAGCAAAATGGTCCCTGGAGTTAGGAGTGCAAAAAAGGAACCAAAGCAAAGCAGGAGTTGGGGCTAGTTTATCACTTGCTTAGGACCTTGATAGCTGTAGGCTACTTCATATAAATACAGAGATGCTTGAAGTGTCCCATAGCTAAAAAGTGCTCTTATTTTTATTTTCTACTTTTTAGAATGTGGTTTTCTCTAAGTGCTGTATAGTTAGAACAACCCACGGGATCCTATGATAAAACAAAAAGTTACTTTAATGTATACCCTTGAAATTTTCTGTCTTTTTTTGAAGATTTTCCAAGAACAGAAGAAAATGTTAGTACATGGTCTTAACTTAGACTACTTTAAACAGTGTGTTTCAATAATTGAAAAAGAAACAAAGGAATATTTCCAAAGTTGGGGAGAAAGTGGAGAAAAAGGTAAGCAAAATGTTTTACACTTGTCCTGTTCTTTTCTGTGAACAGGGATCTAGAATGTGTGTGTGTGTGTGTGTGTGTGTGTGTGTGTGTGTGTGTGTGTGTGTACAAAACAAAGCAGAATGTATCAAGCTACTGTGGATTTATGAGAAGGACATGTTTGACTACCATGGAGTTGTAAACAGAAATACAGTCTTTACATTAGACTGTAACTATTGCCTTTGAAGCAATAGCCTTATTTATAGTAGAAAACATCAGTTCACTACATTCAGGGCTTAGGTTTCAGCTTCTGTAGAGTCTAGAAACTTGTTCTTATCATTAATGCACCTAAAGGTGATATGTATATTTTTTAACTATGAAAGAAGCTGATGTGAACATTAGAACATTTCTTTATTCTATTACCTCTCTCTCTCTCCATTTAAACACACATCGTATGTACATATATACACATATATGTACAAATATACATACACAGTCTCATTTTATATCCTAAGCTGGACTTGAACTAACTCATCCTTCTGATGCTGGAACTATAGGCATGTGCTACCCCTTTGGTTAGAATTCCAATTTAATAAATGCATGTTTGATAGATACTTTTAGCATCAAGATGGCCAGAACATTTGCTGAACTTACGTAGTTACATAGTTACATAGAAGGTCACTGATGAATGTGGAATTAAAGGACAAGGAATTAACTGGATAATTTTCATGGCTTTTAAGTTAACAAAGTGGCTTTTGCCTGACACATCTGTCCCTAATGCTGGGATATAGCAATTGGCAATTATGGCTGCCTATCTTCTATGGTTAACACTTCAATATTTTTCCTTATCTTCTTGATTTGACCTAGGTAAAAAAAATTCAGTCTTTGGCCTTGTATTGGGAAAGCACCCAGTTATTGTCCTCATTCTATTTATTTCATTTACTGGGATTTAAATTTAGGACCTTGTACTTGCTAGGCAGGTATTTACCCCTTCAGCCATGTTCTAGCTCCTTTTTCTTTCAGTTATTTTTTTGGATAGGTCTTACATTTTTTTCCCCACGTTGACCACCATCTTCCTGTCTATGACTCCTGCATAGTTGAAATTACATATGACTACAATTGTGCCCAGCTTATTGGTTAAGGTGGAGGTCTTGCCATGTTTTCTCTTTTTTAAACCAGGGCTAGCCTAAAACCTTGATTCCCCCCTCCCCCTCCTTAGTTACCAAGTAGCTGGGATTACAAGTATGCATCACCATACCTGGCATGTCCTCAGAGGCTTTAAACAACCTTATTGATGGTTTTTACTGTGAATTGAAAATCACATAACCATATTTATCCTTATTTTCACGGTGTAGAAGAGCTCATGAGTGCATTTAGAGATGCCTTTGTGGCATCTATTTTGGCTGACAAAAGGTGCATTGTACATCCGATAATTTTGCTTATTGACTTTATGTTCTTATATTGTAGCATTGGGGCTGAATTCTGGGCCTCAGATCACCACACTGCTATTTGAACTGTACCTATAGCTCCCTCCTCTCCCCTTTTTGTTTCTCCCTTGCCTTTTTAGCTGGAGCCTTGCTGGCCTCTCAAACTCAAAAACCTTCTCCCTCTATCCTCTGAGTAGCTAGGATTACAGGCATGAACCACCAAGCCTGGCTGTGCTTGTCTTTTTTTTTTTAATTGTCATTTTTTTTCACAAATCCTTTATGTCTTTGCAAAAATGTTTCCAAAAGCTTTGGGTAGTAGTGATGATAATGATTCTTTTTCCCTTAGATGTGTTTGAAGCTCTTTCTGAGCTTATAATTTTAACCGCTAGCCATTGTTTGCATGGAAAGGAAATCAGAAGTCAACTCAATGAGAAGGTGGTCCGGCTGTATGCTGATCTGTATGGAGGGTTTAGCAATGCAGCCTGGCTCCTGCCGGGATGGCTGCCTCTGCCGAGTTTCAGGTATGGATAAAGAAAATGTTGTACTTGGTTATTTAACTTTGTGTAACTACTGTGATATTGGTGTGTTAGGAGAGTCCCTATTGTTTTATAAGAAATTAAGACAGGTTTCTTTAATGCGCTCATTGAAGCTGTTTCAGCTGATTGAAAAAGGGAATTTGTTGTCTGTCCTAAGGTTTTAACATTTACCTGTCACATATTCCTGTACTCAGGAAAGTCTGAACTAGACTTCTGTGATGCAGCACTCTTTAAAGCACTGTGTGAAAGTCTTTGGTGGTTTTGTATATGCACATTGTGAAACTTCTTTCTTGGGAATATTTGTCCCTTCATTTAGTTTTCTGTTGGTCAGCTTGTCAACTATACTGTGATTTCCTCAAGGACAGTGACCATCTGTGATGCAAAGCAATAGTACCCTTATTTGCTATGTAGCTCTCAGTTCTGTTAATAGCCTTCCTCTAACTTTACTGAATCTTTTTTAGATAAGAACTGGGGTGCTGGGGCTGAGAAGGTGGCTCAGTGGTAGAGCACTTGCCTTGCATGCATGAGGCCCTGGGTTTGATTCCTCAGCACCACATAAGCAGAAAAAAAAGCCGGGAATGGCGCTGAGGCTCAAGTGGTAGAGCGCTAGCCTTGAGCTGAAGAGTTGAGGGACAGTGCTCAGGCCCAGAGTTCAGGCCCCATGACTGGACCCAAAAAACCCCCCCCAAAACAAAAAAAAAACAAAAAAAAAGAACTGGGGTGGAGTTAGTTGGTACTTTTTCTTTCTTTCCTTCTTTCTCTTCTTCTTCTTCTTCTTCTTCTTCTTCTTCTTCTTCTTCTTCTTCTTCTTCTTCTTCTTCTTCTTCTTCTTCTTCTTCTTCTTCTTCTTCTTCTTCTTCTTCTTCTTCTTCTTCTTCTTCTTCTTCTTCTTCTCCTTCTCCTTCTTCTTCTTCTTCTTCTTCTTCTTCTTCTTCTTCTTCTTCTTCTTCTTCTTCTTCTTCTTCTTCTTCTTCTTCTTCTTCTTCTTCTTCTTCTTTTCTGTTGGTCATGGGGCTTGAACTCTGGGCCTGGGCACTGTCCCTGAGCTCTTCAGCTCAAAACTAGTGCTCTACCATCTTGAGTCACAGCACCACTTCTAGTTTTCTGGTTATTAATTGGAGATATGAGTCTCACAGACTTTTCTGCCCAGGCTGTATTTGAACCTTGAGTCTCAGATCTCAGCTTCCTGAGTAGCTAGGATTAGAGTTTTGAGATACTAGTACCTGGCAAGTTTGCAGGTTTTTGAAAAAGAAATAATTATTTATTGAGATTAAGTGATTACATAAATTTCACAGATTTCACACTATTGTGGGAGAGTGATTACTTAAAGTCACATATACATTTTAACCTTCACTAGGCAAATTGTCATTATTATGGTCTATACAGTTTGTGAATTCTATAAGCTTAGACAATACAACCATTTCTTCCACATCGGGTGGTATGTACATTTCTTTCCTTTTGCTTAGTGTTAGCTGTTCCCTCTTTCCTTCTCATTCCCTTCCTCCCATCGCTGCCCTTGAGTTGCTTAGTTCATTTTCATCAATGTCCAGTGCAGCTGATGGGCCCCTGTGTTGTATTTCCCCACTTCCCTCTGATTTTGTGCCATCCTCCTAGCTTTCCTCAGATGTGCACATGTATAATATGTGAGATCAAGAACATGGAGTCATTTAGAAATTATATGGCAAATTAAGTAGGTGTCCTTTGTTTCTTGTGTCTTGCTTACTTTGTCATATCTCCTTGCATTTTGGATTTAACATCCACATATCAGGAAGACCATGTGCTGTTTGTCTCTCTGATGTTGGCTTACCTCACACAAAATGATTTGTTCTAGTTCCATCCATTTCCCTGAAAATACCATCATTTTTTCCTATCTAATGGCTGCATAATATTCCATTGTGCATAGGTACCACAATTTTTGGATCCATTCTTTTGTAGTGGGGCATCTGGGTTTCCATATCTTGGCAGTTGTGAACAGTGCTGCAATGAACATGGAGGTGCATGTGCCCTCAGATCGTGACTCCTGTTGCTCAGGGTAGATGCCTAGGAGTGGTATGGCTGGGTCATAGGGGAGGTCTAAATTTAGCTTTCTGAGGAACCTCCAGACTGCTTTCCAAAGTGGTTGTATTAAGTGTACATTCCCACCAGCAGTGTAATAGGGTTCCTCTTTCTCCACATCCCTACCAACATTTGTTGTTGGCTGATTTAGGATTTGGGCCATTCTGACTGGGGTAAGGTGGTATCTCAGGATTGTTTTTATTTGAATTTGCTTTATGGCCAGGGATGATGTACATTTCCTCATGTGTGTCTTTGCCATTTTTATCTCTTCTTCTAGAAGTCTCTCTTTAGCTCCCTTGCCCATTTAATGATTGGTTTGCTACATTTGGGAGGGATTACAAGTGTCTTGAGTTCCCTGTATATAATGAATATTAGACTTTTGTCTGATATGTTGCTGGTAAATAATTTTTCCTAATTGGTTGGTTGTCTATGTTTTTAGATGTGCAGAAACTTTTTATTTTAAGACAGTCCCATTTGTCGAGTCTCTCTCCAATTTGTTGTGACCCTGGGACTCTGTTCAGGAAGTTCCTGCCTGTGCCTACAAGTTCAAGTGTCTCTCCTACTCTGTCCTGAAGCACTTTCAGAGTTTCAGATTTGATGTGAAGGTCTTTAATCCTCTATCATCTCTTGGTGGTAGCCTTTGCCTTCCATTTCTTTTTCGCTTTCACTGGCGTGCCTGGCTGGGTGGCTGCTGGCCTTTGGGGATGATTTGATATCTTCCCTGCTGATGAGTCTTGTAATTTTTCTCCGGGATTTTTGCCTGAGGACTCAGTGATTATCAGAGTCAAATCCTGCGTTGGTTCCTGGGTCAACAGCAGCCAGCCAGAACACACCTGTGGGGTTCCTTCTGCCCCTGGCTGCTGGAGTCTGCTCATGGCTCCCGATTTCAGCCAGAAACCCTCAGTTTAACTTGTTAGAGCACCCACCCCGCACACACAGGCGGGGCTCCTTCTGCGGTTCCAAGGACCGGCTGTGACCTGGCAGGCTGGGTGTGTTCCCCACGTTGCTGGGGCGATTTCACAATTCCCTGCCTCAGTGGGACCAGAAGCCCAGGTGGGAGGCAGAGGGGTCTAGGTCTAGCTCTGGGCGTTACCATCAGCGCTGGTCTCCCGTGGCAGGGTGGGGTGTCGTCCATGGGTACTCACTTATCCTGGAACTGGTTAAGGGCCGTCCAGTGATGGTGTGGCAGATCACTGTATCTGTGTACTGTAGATCACAGGTTGCCACTGTGCTCCATTGCGATGATTGTGGGCTGAGCAGTGTGGGGCTCTGGGCCGAGGTTTCACAGTCTCTGTCTTCTTACTCGGTCAGGTCCAGAGCCATGGAGGTTTTCTGGGCTGTAGTTCTATGGATCACGACGGCTCTGAGGTCCCAGGCAGCCAGGGGTGGGGGGAGGGAGGAAATGGGGGCTGGCTTGGAGCCGGGCTCCTCTCTATTTGGCTGGAGAAAGCTTGGTGTTTCCCTACTGTTTCGTTTCCATCTTGCTTCCTGCATCTCTTTTAAAAAAATTGTTGTGAAAATACTGTACAGAGGGGTTACAATTACATGGACAAGATCATGAGTACATTTCTTATCAAACATTGTAGCCTCCTCCTTTGTTTCCCTTTCCCATCCCTTCCCATTCCCCCTTCCCCCCCTCAAAAAAAAATTGTAAAGTTCGTTTTCAACATAACGACTTGTACATCTCATTGTTGCAATGGGTCCACCTGTATCCCTCTTTTTTTTTTTATTTATTTATTTTTTTTAGCCCCTCCATTGTTTTCCCCCTACCATCCCCTCCCTCCCTCCCTTCCCCGAAGTTCTTTTTTTTTGATTGTGATTAAGTGATTACATAGTTTCTATGTGACCTGGCAGGCTGGGTGTGTTCCCCACGTTGTATCCCTCTTTAAACGGTTTGTTTTTTCCCCTTCCCCTCTCCAAATTATGCCAACACCAAATACAATGAAAGCAAGGGTTATACTGTGGGGAAGGGACATACAAAGCAACAAAGAAATCATCTTATAAATATATTAGAAACAATCGCAAGAAAGGAAAAAAAAAACATTTGAATACTTATCATGGGGTTCATTTCACCAAACATCAACTTATCTGACCTTTTCTGCTTGTCTCAGTAGCAAAAACAATCCTTAACAGAAAGAACAGCGCTGGAGGAATATCAATACCAAATTTCAAACTCTACTTCAAAGCCATAGTAATCAAAACAGCTTGGTACTGACACAAGAACAGACCTCGGGACCAATGGAATAGAATTGAAAACCCAGAAATGAACCTACAGAACTATAGCTATCTAATCTTCGATAAGGGAGCTAAAAAAAATAGAATGGAAGAAAGCCTCTTCAGTAAATGGTGCTGGCAAAATTGGTTAATCACTTGTAGAAAACTAAAGCTAGAGCCTTATATATCATCATGCACTAGAATCAACTCCAAATGGATCAAAGACCTGGAGTCAAAGCAGACACTCTGAAAACATTACAGGATGGAATAGGAGAAATCCTAGGTCTCCTTGGCACAGGCCAAAATTTTCTTTTTTTTTT